TGCTCCGAGTACTTTTATGCGAACTATGAATCATGTTTTGCGACCTTTTATTGGAAAGTTTGTGGTTGTATATTTTGATAATATTCTGATTTACAGCATTCACCCATCTGAACATCTTTTACATGTCAAAGAGAATCTGAAAACTTTGAGAGAACAAAAACTATATATCAATTTGAAGAAGTGTTCTTTTATGACTTCGAGTTTGACATTCTTGGGTTACATTGTGTCTACTAAGGGAATCAAAGTAGATCCTGTGAAAATTGAAGCTATAAGAAGCTGGCATGTTCCTAAAAATATCAGTGAGGTATGAGGTTTTCATGGGTTAGCATCTTTTGATCGTCGATTCGTTAAAAACTTCAGTATTGTAATCGCTCCTATCACTGATTGTTTAAAAAAATGAACTTTTAAATGGACCCCTGAAGCTAAAACTATTTTTCGAATGATCAAACTAAAAATGAGTCAAACTCCAATTCTTAGCCCGCCGAATTTTGAAAAAGTCTTTGAAGTTGATTGTGATGCTTCACATGTTGGTATTGGTGCTGTTTTTAGTCAGGAAGAAAAGCCTATTGCATATTTTAGTGAAAAGTTAAATGATGTTCGATCTCGATATTCTACTTATGACTTGGAATTTTATGCCATTGCTCAAGCTTTGAAATTCTGGAGATGTTATCTGGTTCAACGAGAATTTATTTTGAATACTGATCACGAGGCTTTACGATTTTTGGGTCACAAAAAAATCTAAACAAAAGACATGCCAAATGGGTGTTTCTTTTTTGCAAGAATACTATTTTCTTATCAAACATAAAATTGGGGTATTAAATAAGGTTGCTGATGCTTTAAGTCGAATATCTCACTTGTTGATAACTGTTTTTCCAACTGTTACTTATTTTGATTTTTTGAAAGACACTTATGCAAATGATTCTGATTTTAAAAATATTTGGGATGCTTGTTTCTGGAACTGATCCTTCTGCTCAATTTGTGATACATCAAGTTTTTTGTTTAAGGGAACTAGACTTTGCATATCTAAAAACTCATTAAGAGAACAACTTGTGAAAGAATTGCATAGTGGAGGTTTGGGAGGACATTTTGGGCAAGGAAAAACAATTGCTTTAGTTGAAGAAAAATATTTCTGGCCTCACATGAGAAAAGACATTCCTAAACTGGTTAAACAATATAAGGTATGTCAGGCTTTTAAAGGAATTGCACAAAATTCTGATTTGTATACTGCTCTACCTATTCCAAACAAACCTTGGGAGGATATTTCAATGGATTTCATTTTGGGTTTGCCGGTTACTTTTCAAAAATTTGACTCTGTTTTTATGGTTGTGGATCGATTCAGTAAAATGACACATTTTATTCCTTGTAAGAAAACTTCTGATGCTTCTTACATTGCTTATTTGTTTTTTCAAGAAATTGTTCGTCTACATGGTATTTCTCGTACTTTTACTTCGGATCATGACACTAGATTCTTAAGTCATTTTGGAGAACTCTATGGGCAAAACTTGGAACTAATCTTCAATTTAGTAGTGCCTATCATCCTCAAACTGATGGACAAACTAAAATAGTGAATAGAAGTTTGGGAAATTTGTTAAGATGCCTTGCTGTAGAAAAACCATCTCAATGGGATTTAGTGTTGCCTCAGGCTAAGTTTACAACAGCATTAACACAATTTCTTAAAGGATTCATGTCATTATTGTTCGACAAGTTTTACGCTGGCTGTCGACTACCTAACGCAACCCTCCACTTTTCTCATCCAGGACTTGGGACCTGGCAACGGCAGTGTTTGGGCAAGTTTTGTTACAATAATTCTGTTAATCGTTCCACTGGAAAAACTCCATTTGAAATTATTTATGGGCAACCCATTCCTCACATTTTAGATAGAGACTCCTTGTCCTTACCCAAAAAAACTAGTGTTGAAGCTTTTGAAACATTTGACCACATAAAAACTGTCCACAAACAGGTTCTTGAAAAACTCAAAAAAGTTACTGCTAAGTATAAGTCTACTGCTGATAAACATCGAAAAGAAGTGAATTTCAATGTGGTTGACTTAGTTATGGCTTACTTTCGTCGCCAACGATTTCCTGTTGGAACTTTTAAAAAATTAAGAAGAAAGAAATTTGGCCCTTTTCATGTAATTCGAAAATTAGGCACTAATACCTATTTGCTGGACCTACCAAATACTGTTGGCACTTCTCCTGTTTATAATGTTTTTGACTTGTCTTTATATGAAGGAAATTCTGATAATTTTATAGACAATGAAACTTTACAACTCTCTGCTCCTTTGGTAAAGTCTGAAGATCAAATTGAAGATATTGTTAATGTGAAATTCATTAAAATAAGACATGGAGAACACAAGAAGTTTTTGGTCAAATGGAACAATCGACCATTGACTGATTGCACCTGGATTGATGCTGCTGATCTAAAAAAGAGAAATTTGGAACTTTATGAAAGAATTGCTGATACGTTCTCATCAGGAGATGAGAATTTTTCGCCAGGGGAGAATTGATGCTATCAAATATTTCTGTAATTTTATTTTTATTGAACAATAGTATGTTTTATGTTCTTTTCTTTTTAGCTATCTAATGATGGGAAAGCATCCAATGAACAGGGTAGCTTGTGCATGAGGCTTGGTAGACCTTTGGTTTGCTGGCTCGATTGGTCCTTGGTTGCTGCTGGTTCACGGGTTGGCTGTTTTGGGGCAATTGGTGATGGTTGGAGTTGAGTTCATTCTCTTAAGTTGCTTGAGCTGAAATTTTGTAGCTCATTAATGTTCTAAAGGTAAGCTCATTAAGTTGGATTCAATTTTGGAGTGGACTTGCCCTTCACCTTCCCCTTTCTTCTTGTCTCTTGGAAAACCGTGGCTTATTATTTTGTGATGGCTGAATTCCGTGCCTTGGCTGCTGATTCCGAGCATTATCTCCTTGGTTCCCACGTTGGTTGTTGGTGTTCCGAGCTGGGGGTTTTCCCGTGGCTTTTGATGCCTCGATTCCGTGCGGTTCCTTTGGTTCCCGTGGTTGCTCCTTCGGTTCCTGAGCTGGGCTGTTTTCCGTGAAAAGCAAATGGGAATATTCCATAATTTGATGCTTGGGTTCTTGTGGAAATTAATTAAAGTGGCTGTTGGTATTCTTCTATCTTGTCTATAAATATAAGAAGTTTTTGTGAAGAAGGGATTTGATTATTGTGAACAAATTTGATATTGACCTGCGGGTTATTAGAAAAGCTTGCGAGCTTGTTCCATTCTTCTTCTCATCCCCTCTGGAAATCTTGCGAGCTCTTTCAACCCTTCGTCTTGGCTTCTA